ACACACACACACACACACACACACACACACACACACACACACACACACACACACACACACACACACGTTTGTTCTTCTATCCTCATGAGGACTTTGCATTGACTTCCATTTATTTACCAGTCCTTTCTGTAGCCTAACCCTGAGCCTTACCCTAAAATTAACCACCCCAGTACACACCTGACCCCAAACCCAGTCTAAACTAAACTCACACCATAGTCCTAAATCGAACCCCTGACCCAGCAACAGTTTTTCTACCCAATGGGRACCGGGCTTCTGTCACCATAAGGAACAGTGGGTCCTCACCAGGCTGTGTGTACTGGAGAAATGGCCAAAAATGGTCCCCACTAGTTAGCAAAAACATGCAAACAAACACACACACACAGTTTCTGACCTACGCCTGTCGAGCAACACCCTCTGGCCCTGCTATTTTGGGATTGTGACGTAAAAACTGAAAGTCACTCTGTAAAAAGTATCATATTACACCCATTAATGCTCTCATACACATACATTCAGAGATGCACACAAAAATCTTAGGAGTTTGAGGATAACACTAATGAAACAGCTATGGGAAACTGCAATGATGCAAAATGGGGGAGTGAGTGCTGAGTACACACAGGGAATGCTTCAAGTATCACAGCAGACGTTACATTGTACTATCTAATCCTTCTCTGAAAACAACACAAATCTGAGAAATGTTTATAAATATTGTGTCAGGAGTTTGTGTGCTAAATAATAATAATATTGTTGAGAGGTATTTTTATTTTTTTTTTGCTGTAATGAACAAATGCAGAAAGTAAACTGAATTAAGCAGCTAACAGTGGGATCTCACTGGGCCGTAACTAGATGCTGAAKGATATTTATGAGGAAGTCTTCAAAATGTTTCAACAATAATCGTGTTTCCATCCAGTTGTAGAGTGAATTTTATCGAACTTTTCAAAATTCGCAAAAAATTAAATAAATAAAAATTCAACTCTAGACTGTTTCCATCTAGTTTTCCTCTCGACTGTTTGATGTGAATAAACGAGGCTACGCAACGCGTGATTACGTCAGA